GGAGCTCCTTGTTGTACTCGCTCAGTTTGTATCAGATGAATTCTGCTCTTGTATTGATTCTCTGTCAGGCTGCAGCTGATACAATAAAAACTCTTTCAAACACATTTCATTACATTATGATCCATCAGATCCTCTGATGTCTTAAAGAGTTGTGATGTTGAGAAGTTTGATAACTTACACAGTCAGCAGCTTTGGCAGCTTTCCCTCCTGGTTTCAAATAGGCTAAACTTTATTTTAATACTAAAGCAGTGTACAGCACCTCTGTTACTGTATGTGTTTAACATATTTTTATCTTCCTTTTTAACTCAGCCGTAATAGACTGATGGGTACTGTGGTCACCCTGCCGAGTGGACAGGCCCAAGTCTGTGAAGCGATAACTCAAGAATGAGGCGACATAGGAGGCTGAGGGGTAGCACTGTGAAATCAGCTGCTCTGCTGGCTGTTTACGTACCATGTTTGGACAACACCATCCCGTTCATGTGATAGTGCAGAGAAATCCCGGGTTGACCAGCGATGGGAAGTTGTATCCTGGTTTCAGATATTCCAGTAAGAGAATAAAGGATGGGATGTACTGGACTTGCTTCGTAGTACAGGGCTCTGTTGTGTGTTTTCAAAGATGTACGAACTGCTGTGTTGCTGTTGCATCAGTAGGGTTACAGCAATTTCCAACTAATTGTTCTTTGAAAAATGTTGCAGCCGTGAACGCGGCATCATTGCCACCCTGCCAGTTTGGGCCGGCAGACGTCGGGCACACCGAAGTATTCGCTGACTGAACTGGCTTGTTTCACATTGATGCCATAAGTGTATCTATATGAGGGGCAGCACTGGCTATCTTTTTTTAATATGTCTGCTTTTCTGAAGTTTTTATAAGACTAGCTTAGCTTTTTCTGCTATATAGTCCTCAGTTGCAGATGTTCGAACGCTGTGTCTCAAATCTGTGTAGCTAATTCACAGGACTCGCCTCTACATGAACATTCAGAACTGGACTGATGCTGTATATCCCAGTTTAACTCTGTATAATAGGAATCACAACATGTTTGTTTCAGCCTGTAACTTAAGGGCCACGTGACGCTTTGATACTGAAAGGATCTAAAAATGAAAACGTGTCTTTGCCAGGCGAGCATCTTAACGGGCTGTAACGGCACCTTTAGTCCGGCTATTTTGTTTCCCTTTCATTTGGACACAATTGGACAGTTTGGTAGTTTGGCTACTTTTTTTCTTTTTTACTAGAATTTTATTATTTTTGAAATAAGTAATAAGTTACCGTGAATAAATATTTACCATCTAATTCCATCTGTGTCATTGTCCTGTAATAAGAGTATATGTCTGTATTACACACATAAGTTTGAGTATATTTCTGAACTGTTTAAAGGACTCCTGGTTGAACTCATTTGAAGGAGGTTTGTGTTTTTCCTGTATGTGAATTTTGTAATATTTTGGTCACAGTGGGCTGACAGTGTAAATAAACACCGAGAGCCTTCCACA